AGAGCAGGGCTGTGTGCTGTGTGGGTCTGTGCAGGCGTTTTGGGGTTCCCAGGGAGGAGCTGCCRTGTCTTCCTTGTCTGGTCCAGGAGAGAATTTGGGCTGCACTTTGGTGCTTGGGTTGGGTGGTGTTGGGGCAGATGAGTGTCTTGGAGGCATTTCATGCACTTGAGGACAGCGAGAGCAGCCAGAAGTGCTCCACCAGCACTGGACATCTCTGGTTTCCCCATGAGAAGGTGACTCCAAAGGCTCCTCACAGCCTGACAGAGGAATTTTCTGTCCTTCTCTCCTGAACTCCGTTGTTGGGTGGGTTGTTTCCCCCCTCCCAGTACATCTTAGGCACAGTGGAGGCAGGAAAGAAAACCCTTCTGAAAATCACAACGTAATTGCTCCCATCTGCTCCGGCACTGCTTCCCATTTCTGCCTGCCAGGATGCTTGTCTCTGATGCTAAGTAGCACATTATTTTCGATAAGTTGCAATCATTTACTTGAAATCTCCTTCTCCTTTAAAATGTCCCCCTGGAAAGGCAATTCAGCAAGTTGGGAATGGGCAGAAACAGCCATGAAAAAACTCATCCAGAAGCAGCCGAGCTCGGGCGGGAGGGTGAGTGCTCCTAGTGCTCCTCCCGACCTCATTAAAAGCACCCAGCAGGTTTCTTTGTAGGGTGGATTTGTTTAAACGCCCAGTCACTGGGTCCAGCCCTTGGCTGGTGGTGTCAGCAAATGGGACTGCAGAGGAACTGCCAGCTCCTGTCATCAGAGGGAATCTCAACCGGGCAGGCACAGAAATTGCCCAGGACCACACTTTTGACTGCGTCAGTCAGCAGAGAAAGATCCACCCTGGCTCTGGGGGACCCGTTCCTTCATTGTCACAGCCTGGGTTGGCATCATGTCTTACCATCCTCTTGTGAGGGGCTATATCCCATGCTGGGAGTCTGGCTTGGACAGCCCCCTGCTTCCCACATCTTCCCACAGGAGGATAAATTGYCCTGTCTAGAAGAAAGGTGGAGCTTGAAAGTCCTTTGCTGTTGTCACCTCTGAGCCACAGTCTCCTGCTGAGCTTCTGCCATCACCCCCAGCATGGTCGATTGCCTTCATGATGTGGTTCTGTCAGTGTTGCCTGCACACCTTGAATTTGGAGGGTTTGGAAGGGGTGAAGARGAAAGAGTTGCTAAAGGAGGTATTTTAGCCTTGGAGAAGGGAGGTGACTGTGTGCTAAGTTTTCTAGATTGCTTTGAAAAAGGACTCCCTGGAAAAGGGAGTAAATAAGGTATGGGGTGGTAGCAGGGAGTACCAGAAGAGTCTTTGTGGATTTCTTGGAGGTCTTCACAGCTCTAGATGATTCCCAGCTGCTTTCCTTCCCAAAAGTGTCTGTCAAGGGCCGGTTCTCCTGCCCTGTGCCCCTCACCCTGGCTGTGCCTCAGGTGCCAAGGTGTGGGACATGTGGGGTGCTGGCTGCACATCTCAATGAGATGTTGGTGGGAAGTGTCTTGGAGCATCTGGAAGCTTTGGTGGCTCAAGGCAGTTTCCATCCCGTGTCCCCCCGTGTCCCTGAATCAGAAATAGCYGAGGAGCTGCTTTTGGCTTTATCTTCTCACCTGCTTCTCTGAGGTCAGTCCTGCCACCACTTCCATGTCCTGCCCTGCAGCCAGCCCAGGCCGGGGACGTGTCGATGTCCTCTGAGCTCTGGTGGCTGTGATCCCTTCCTCAAGAGGGAGAAGRAGCGAGTGTGTGAGCTGAGAGCCATTTTCCAGCTGCTGGGACAGGTCTCWGTGACCCTGGTGGCGACCATGACCTGACCCAGGCTGGTGGCTCCATGGTCCCCAGCTGCTCCCGCTGCTGCCACCGGAGATGGTGACCCTGTGATGGCCACAGTCCTTGGGGCTGCTCCGTGACTAGCCGGGTGGTGCAAGCAGGGACAGGGCGTGTGCCTTGGGTTTGCTTTTAAAATGCACCCATATATATAACACATTGTATATATAAAAATATATATTTGCGTGTGTATATATTTACATATAAAAACGCATTTTGATAGCAGGGGACCTGGGCGAGGGCTGAGCACCATCTAGTGGCAACTGCTGCCGCTCCAGAGGCCACCGAGCCATCAGGAAAGCAACCAAGGACAGAMAGTCTTGCAGGAATTTTCCTCCCCCCAGCTACCAATCGCTATTTTTCTTTTTGTTCTTCCCCCTTTTTCCCCCCCCTTTTTTTTTAAACAGGAACAGTAAATGGAGGGTACTGGGGACGCCTATATGCCTGTAGCCCCTTGGTCCACTGAGGATCATTCTGCCTCTTTTATTCTGTTCTAATTTAGARGGAGAGCGGGGTTCTTTTGCCATCAGCTGCCCGGGCACTACAAGGTGTGTGCTGCCTGTTCTGGCTCATCCCAAACCCCCCAGGCAGCAGAGCCTCATCCCATAACGGGGGGCAGTTTGTGGGGTCAGAGCTGCCAAGGATCTCAACACCCCAGCCATCCTGGCAGGAGCTGTGTCAGAGCTGGGTCCAGYGCTGGGAAGATAAAAAAGGAGCTTTTAAATAATCATTTTGTCTTCTCCTCGGCTGAGCACAGCCTTTCAGGGATAAATAAGCAGCATCAGTCCTGCTTAGACATGTTGGCCTTTCCATTTATTTACTCCCAAGCCTTATTGTGAGTGAGCAGCCAAGCCCAGGCTGGCTCTGCACGGTCCCTGGCCGGGTTCGGGTCCCTACTGTGGGGACAAATGTCCCTCYATCACATGCTTGGGGTGCACCCACCCAGCAGACGCTGCTCTGTGCGTGTGGCACAGGAATAAAGCTCCCTGGAATACACAGCACTTTTCATCAGGAAGCAGCTCTCTAAACATAAACTAATTAATCACTCGTGCCTACCTGTCAGGTCAATGATTCCTGAGATTTTTAATCTAAAAATATTTCCCTTTTGAAATCCAGATGCGCCTGTTTTGGCAACTCCGCTTTTGATTTGTTTATTTGAGGTGTTTTTTTAATATTTTTTTTATTTTTAACCTGTGTTGCTTTCCTTTTGTATTTGTGCTTTTGATGTGCTTTAATTGACTGATTTTTTTTTTTTTTTTTTTTTTTTTTTTTTGGTCCTGGAAGAATAGGAATTTATTCTCTTTATTTTCATGGCAAGTCTCTCTCCCTGCTGCAGCCTGTCAACTTTCCTCTTCTCTTTTTAAGGAATTTAGCTACTTTTGCCTCATATTTCAATTTATGGACCGTAGACCCCAACCATTTTCTTGATGAAATCTGTCCTCTCCCCTTGGCTCTCTTCATTGTGCCTGGGTGCAATGGGAAGCCTCCCGTGGTGGGGGGAGATGCTGGTCCTGTCTCCTCAGGGCTCAGCTTCAAATTTGGCACTCTGCCCTCRTTCCTCCATATAGAAACAATCCTCCCTAGCGTGGAAGTATTTATTATTAGTTTTACAGTTTTACTGTTCTTGGGCTTTTTTTCTCTGCCTACCTTCCCACCTTTGTTGATAGTGCGTATTTTAATCACAAAAATGCCAATAAATGCATGAATGAATAAATGATCTGAATGTATGAATAAAATAAAATCGAATGAATGAAATGTCCTGAAAATARTAATTTTAGTAGGCTTTGAGGCTTTAAAAGAAAGCTCTTTTKAGTGTTAACCAAACCTCTCAACAGGGTCTTTTACTTCAGTTTTATACCAAAAATAGCTGTATTGCAGAGTGGGGAAGACCATACTTGGTGGTTGCTGGAGTTKTTTTTGCTGCTCTGGTTTTACTGCTTGTTGCCAACTGATTTTTCATTGCCGTTTTAATTTGATTTTACTTTATTTTAAATGACAGGGAGAATCACTTGCTCTTGTTTGTGCYGTGGATTGGGAAGGGTGGCAAATTCATCTCAGGTGTCAGTGGGCACGGATTTATCAAAATCCAACATTTCCCAGCTCCGAATGTGCAGAGCATGTGCTCATGGGGTGTGTGTGCTCAGAGCCCCTGTGCCAGATGAGATGAGAAAATACAATTGTTTTCTCTTAGGAAATGCCTTTTTTATTTGTTCATCAAGGGTTTATTTTATTCATGCCATTTATTATGCAGCCATGCATGTGAGAATCTCAGTTATCATTCCATGGTTGAACACAGACCGTGGAGGGGGATATGGTGGGAGCACATAGGGCACCTCCATTTTTCAGAACTGGGACATCCCAAGTAGTTGAGATGTTCCATGTTGTTTTTCCAGGAAAGCCCTCACAGGAGAGCAACTTGGAGCAGTAACTGAGGTGGGGAGCACAAAGAGGAGAGGAAGATTCTCTTTTTGAAAAGTCACTCAGGGAGGATTAATTTATTGTTGCTCCTTTCCTCAGCACGGGTTTAGACATYAGTGGAACAACTGGATTCTTAAAGAAAAGGCGTTTTTTCCAAGAATAAAATTTATTTAATGCATTTTTTGCATGTGTTCCTCATGTGTGGCTAAAAGCATGKACTCAAGCCCTCTCCATAGTCCGTATTTCAAGATGTGGAAACCAAGGCAGGGTTGCCCTGGGCTCTGTGTGTCTTTCTCTGCTGGGGTTGATGTAAATGACATGTTGGGTGACATGGGAGGACCCCTGAGCAAGATGAGATCAGGCCTAGAGATGCCCAACTTCCCATCTCATGCTTGAGTCGAGATATGGTCCCTCTCACTTCTGGCAGCAAGAATGGGTACATTGATTGGTTTTTTTGGTTGCTGTTGCTAGGAGTTTTGCAGCTTATTTGAGCAGAAAGTGTGGCTTTCTGGGTTAGTTCTGTGGTGAGCTCGCTGCCTGTTCTACCCTACTTCTGTCCTGGGGGAAGGAGGGGAAGGCATGGGGAGATGGAAGCCAAGTAGCTGCTCTTGGTGATGAACACTTTGGAGCATCAGAATGCAGAGTGCTTTTGGGGTACCTTTTGGGGCGGCAGAAAAGCCCTGCTGATGGGGTCAGTGCAGCTCGAATGAGCATCCCTGAGTTCAGCCCCAGCTGTGACTCAGCCTTTCCTCTGTCCTTTGTGTCTCCTGCAGTGCTGAGCATCCGAGGGGCGCAGGAAGAGGAGCCCACGGACCCCCAGCTGATGAGGTTAGACAACATGCTCCTGGCCGAGGGGGTGGCAGGTCCCGAGAAAGGAGGGGGCTCGGCCGCCGCTGCCGCCGCCGCYGCCGCGTCCGGAGGAGCCGGCTCCGACAACTCGGTGGAGCACTCCGACTACAGAGCCAAACTGTCCCAGATCCGGCAGATCTACCACACGGAGCTGGAGAAGTACGAGCAGGTAACAGGCTCCTTCGTGGCTCAGGGATGCTGCTCTGCTCGCGGGGTGCCAGAGCTGGGGGAGCTGCCGCTCGCTGTGGGTCTGCGCAGCCCGGATCRCTACTGACATCTATTGTTAGCAGCCTATGGACAAAGGCAGCTGGGTGTTGGAGTGACAGCGTGCCTTTTTGGGGTTGGGAGGGTTGGGGTTTTAGGCATGAGTTGCCCCTTGGATTTTCACTTTTTACTCCTTCCTTGGTATCTTGCTCAAAATTGGCTCTATGAAGGAGGCGGCCTCCTTGATGTGCTGGGCTCAGTGATGACAGCTTTCCAAGCAAGACTTGAATCAGAATCTTTCTTGAATATATTTTCTGCTTGAAACCTCTTTTTCCAGGAAAAAAAAAAACAAACACATTTTTCTTGGAGCAAATTATTCTTAAAAAAGAAAAAGTACTTGGGTCATAAACACAGGTATCGATAACACTGACAATTTTATGAAGAGCTTTGCAGGTCAATGCTCAGTGTCAGTTCCTTTCAAGTGCCTCCAGATGTTTTGCAGACCTCTCAGGGCTGCACACTTTGCTTCTGTGGTTTCTACCGTGAGGTTGTGGTTTATGGATGTGAGCAAGAAGGCATCCATCCTCTTTGGGTGCAGGATAGGCTGTACTGCCACGGGCCAGAAGGCCTTTCAGGACTCTGATAATAGACCCAGGAAAAGCCTTAATTTTACCTGGATGTGTGGTAGGGCTGGGGGATACACATTGGCCAAGCTGAGGGAAGGGTGCCCCAGGGTTAGCGCTGGAGTCAGGGTGGACAGGCAAGCTCTGGAGGAGTTGGAATATCTAAGCACAGTCATGCCATGAAAGGCATTTCGGCAGAGCCTCAGAGGAGGCCGGGAGCAGGCAGAGGGCTGGTTGGAAGGATGATGACCTTTGGTGGCTCTCTCAGCCCTTTCTGTCACCCTCTGGAGGCACGGAGACAGGGATGTACAACGAAGGAGCCTCAGCTATCTCACAGAGGAGAGAGTGGGGAGAATGTCAGGGCTCATCCTTCAGGCCCAGGCTGAAGAGGTGGACAGAGACCTCATTTCCTTGGCTACCCCAGTCCAAGGAGAGACCCTTGATACAGACAGGGACGAGTTTCAGGGAAGGGCCTTCTGCTTTTTCCCCCCACCTTGAGTGGGATTTTTGTTTGATGTTCTGATTTTGGTTTTGCTTCGTGTTTGCTCCCCAAAGAAACCCAGGTGAGAGAAGCCTTTAGCCAGGACCAGAGTGTGGGATGGACAATGTCTTTCCTTCTCACAACCCCCTAGTAGGGTTTGGGTTTGCCCCTGAGTCGCTTTGCAAGTTGCTGTGCTGGTCCACGTCTCTGGTTCCATCACCCAGTCCTGCAACACCAGGAGGGTTTTTCCACCTCCATCCCAGCTCTCTCCAATCCCACTGTTGGGAACTCAGTCCTTGGTTTCTCAGTGTCTGGCTGCTGCTGGGTCAGTGCAGCACTCAGTGGTCATTTTGCCTTTACTGCTCTTTATTTCATGCCAAGAAGAGATGATCTGAAATTGCTGGGAGCAAAGAGCTGCCYGGCTGAGARCTCTCRTAGCCAAAACTCRCCCCAGGAGATSGGAGTCAGGGGCTGGAKATTGGGATGGGAAATTGTAGGGGCTCTGCTGGCCTTGGGGATGTCTCCTTGTTGGGTCTGAGCCGTGATGGGAATTCAGCTTGAAAGGATGGGGTGAGACACAGTAAGTCAAGCTCATGTCACCTGTCCCCAAATTCAGTGTCTGTTTCCCCTGCCAGCCCCCTTTTCCCCATCACAGGGTGGGAACTGGGCACACTGCCCCCAGAGCAGCTGCTCGTGTCCCCAGAGCAGCTCCCCGTGTCCCAGGAGCACCAAAGGCTTCTCMAGCCACCACTGTCCAAGTGCTTCTCTCAGCCTGCTTTTCAGGGCTTGGTTCTGAGAATCAGAGGATCCCATCATGCCCACGAAGTGCTTGTGGGGATGAAGGATAGGCCCATGAAGTGGCCTTCATTTGGCCTCAAACACCCTCCCTTGTCCCCTGGCTCCTCCTGCTGCCCTGTCCTCACATAGTGTGGGGACAGCAGGAGCAGCCAGACAGTGCTGTGCCAGCAGCAAGCTAATTGGGATTGTTACCTGCTTGCCCTTGTTTGTCAGGGCTCCTGCCTCACTCAGGCTTTAATTATTATCGTTATTTATTTCTTGTCTGATGTGCCAAGAGCATGGAGCAAGGAGCTGCTTCTGTGAAGCACCAGGGGCTCTGCAGGACACGCGGTGGGGCTGTAGGAGGAGGGCCAGTGAGTCAAAAGRTTCATGGTCCTYCTCAGAAATCTATAGCTCWTCCAATCTCAACCAGAAAAAGTGGYYGGAACTTSATGGTTTACAYGAATCYTAGGGCTTCATYTGYCCCAGCTCCATCCATGATCCCCCTGAGAGCAAAGAAATTGGCTCCTGCCTTTCCCAGCATGTTTGTCGCGAGTCTCTCGTGCCCTGTGCTTGGCAGACCAGAGAAATTTCTCTCTCCCTGAGCACCAGCACGTTCTTGCTCTGAGCCTGCTCTGAGAAACCTCAAACCCCTTCYGTAGCCACGCTGCCTCTGTCCCATCCTCGACGCCATCGAATGACCTTCCCATCCTGGGGTKTCTTTTGCTTTTCTTGCCATCCCAGGCGTGCAACGAGTTCACCACCCACGTGATGAACCTGCTGCGCGAGCAGAGCCGGACCCGGCCCATCTCRCCCAAGGAGATCGAGCGGATGGTGAGCATCATCCACCGCAAGTTCAGCTCCATCCAGATGCAGCTGAAGCAGAGCACGTGTGAAGCCGTCATGATCCTGCGCTCGCGATTTCTGGACGCACGGTGAGTCTGCCCCATCCAGCCCTCCTGCCCGCCCACTGGGCAGTGTTGGTTGGGTCCAGGAGGTTTGCTGGTCAGCTTTGTTGGTTCTGGAGCAAATTAAAGCCAGCTGAAGGGCCAGTCTCAAGCTGCAGGGTTTTTTTTGCCTTCCTTATTATCCCTTAGTTGCCTGTGGTTCAGCAGGGGAGGGGACTGCAATTCAAGCCATCCAGCCTCTGTCTCAGCGAGGCTCCCAACTCAGGTACATTGAGAATTGCACATCCTGGTTTTGCTGTGGCAGAAGGAAATTCTGTGGCATATTGCAACAGCCCTCCGTGGTGAAAACGTGCACTTCAGTTAGGGATGAAAGCTTATCCTCCAGGCCATCTTGTCCTCTCTAGGTTCCCATTCWTTTCCCACTGTTTTTATTGTCCCARWTTGCTGTAAAATTATTTCATTTCCCAAGCTGGTTAGGTGCAGACTGCAGCTTGGGCTGTAGCTTGTGATGGGGAGGAGAGGCAGCTACACTGAGGGTACAGGGAAAGAAATGGCAGACAGGTAAAAATGCCTCAGTGTAAATGGAGCAGACTTCCCCAAGGATATTTCCAGCTCTGCTTCCTCAGCACAGAGCTTTGCAGAGTAGCACTGGTGTCTTTGGCCACGACAGCCAGGTGTCAGGAGTCACCTTCCCAGGTGGAGGAGCTGAATGCTGCTTTGCAGGCTCTCCTGTGAGCTGGAGGACACAGTGATAGATTMGAGGTGGAGGCTTGCTTGCTTTGAAAGGTGCTCAGAGAGCAGGCACCAGCAAGGGGCAGATAAGAAACTTCCTGGCCATGAGTCTTGCACTGCATGCTCAGAGAAGCAGGGGGAGGAGGGAGGGAAGTGGGAAACTCACCWGTATCTAAAATTGCATTCCTATTTCTGGATCCCTGGTGCTCATTCCCTTTCCTTTCCCTTCTGTTTCCCATTCTTTCTTCATGTGAAGGCGGAAGAGACGAAACTTCAACAAGCAAGCCACGGAAATCCTGAATGAGTATTTCTATTCCCATCTCAGCAACCCTTACCCCAGTGAGGAAGCCAAAGAAGAGCTAGCCAAGAAATGCGGCATCACAGTCTCACAGGTGAGAGAGCTCAGTGCCTGGACCAGTGGGAAACCTCAGCATGGTGAAAGGCATTCCAGACCTCAGACAAGTCAGCCATGTCCAGTGCTGAGCATTTAATTATTAAATCAGTTTAGTGCAAGTTAGTGAGACTGGATGGGAGTGCAGATGGCGCTTGCAGATTGAAGCCATGGATAGAAAAGGAAAGTTTGAGAGAGGATTTAGGAGGTATGAAGACTCCATGGAGTGATGCTGTGTGTGCAGCCAAGGTGTTTACAACGCCAAAATGATGTGGCAGGACCCAGAGAGGCAAAGTGTCCTTAAGGAATTTGTKCTGGGCTGGCTCGCAAGAAGAGCTTGTTTGAGCTGAAAGTCCATTCTCAAGGGATTAAAAGCGTAGGAAGAGTTGTGCAGATTTTRCTTGATAGGATAGAATGGACAAGTGCTGGTAGSAAGGATCTGAGTATAAGTGTTACAKTTTGTGCTCWGTGAGGGCAGGCTTTCTCAGGGTCATTTCTCTCAGTCATTACCCTTGTGCTGCAGAACATGACATTTCCCCGACTTGCACATCCCTCAAAACRTGCTGGTCAGTAAAGACAAAATGAATTATTTCCATATGTTCAAGGCAGCCACAGAGTTCCCGGAGTCTGTAGCTTTGACCTGGGAGCTGCTGTGATTTGTGAGGAGCACAGTCAGTCCTTGAAGTGTTCAGCCGTACATTGCTCAGGCCTGCCCTTCTTTATTTCCTCTCTTTTTGGAGCAAGCTGTGTGATTGAGAGCCAATCCATGTGGCCTCCGCTAGGCTTGTCCTCACATGAGCTTAGCAGTCCCTCCAGGCTCCCACGGCATTCCCTGTCTTGGGCTGCTTCCCAGCCCCAGGCACGTGCCTGCTCATCACTCGAGCGACGTGCAGACAGCAGCAGCATCTGGTGTCCTTGTGGGAGCGTGTCTGCCTTCAGCAGGAGCAGCAGCGTCCAGGGTAGGTGTCGTCACCGTGCCCAGAGCCTGCTGAGTGACTCCCACGGCCTCCCCTGGGTCAGAAGACCCAAACGTTGCTTCTTCCCAGAGTTACCTACAAGAGACAGCACATCTTGGCTGAAGTCAAGCTCCAGCTGTCCTGGTGCTTCCCCTCTCACTTCTAATTCATCTGTTCACACTTACAACTTCTCCCTCGCAAAGACAAAATGCCCAGGAGAAATGCTGCTGTGCTCAGGATGTGTTTCTGACCGTGCTCTATCGAGGCTGCTTTGTGCCTGTCTCCAGGATCTGCATCCCCTCTTCATCCAGTTAAGGTAGAAGCAAACACACATCCAGGTCTGGTTTCACTGAGAYTGGGTCACATGAGTGTATGTAAGCTGTTGATCTGAACTCAGTCTGACCAGATTAGGCAGGTTCTTCACAGGTTTTAAAATGCACATTGTTTGTGGTGGCTGTGTATTCCAACCTCCTGCCCTGTGGTGCTCACAATTCACCCACTCCAGGATTTGAAGCCAGAAAAGCTGTCAGAGGGAGATGGCCAAGTGGAAAGATCACGAAGGAGCACAATGTCGTTAGTGAGAAAGCTGGAGCAGGAGGTGGAATGGAGCTCCTTGCCAACAGCACCAGCTCCTGGTACCATCTAAATGTTTGCTCCCAGCTCTAGGTTGGGTGCTGATGTGAGTCTCTGCAGGGCATCTTTTCTTTTTCCTGCTCTGCAGGGTTGGATACTGCAGCTCAATAGCCATTAAATTGGTGGATGAAGCCGCCTTTGTGTGGAAGCTGCTGAATGCTGTAATAGCACTGCAGATAGAAAGCATCACAGGAAAAAAAGTTTATGGGTTTTAGTTATCAACAGCCAAGCCCGAACAGTTTCCCTAAGACAACAACAACAAAAAAAAAAAAAGGGTTTTTGCATCACAGGAAAAAAAGTTTATGGGTTTTAGTTATCAACAGCCAAGCCCAAAACAGTTTCCCTAAGATTAAAAAAAAAAAACCAGGATGAACATCTGTTATTGTCTTCTGTGTTCTCTGGCACTTGCTCAGTTTCTTTGGAAGGGGGATCACTGATGTGCTTGCAAAGGGAGAATGTCCTTGGAATCCCACCAAAGGGATTGGTCTTGGTAGCTCAGGATTGCAGTTCTAGGAGTGTTGGAGCTTTCCTGGAGAGTTGCAGCATCCTCCACATTAGCCCATCCCCTTCATCCTGAGATTTCTCTAACAAGCTCAGCAGTGGCTGGAATTTGTCTCCTGCTTAGAGACCTGCMCATGGGAAGACATTCCCCTGATTCTCTGAGCTCGGTGTTGATGAAGAGGAAGCTGAGAGCAGCTTTCCCAAGCTGTGGGTTGAATATTTGCCATGTCTTCTCTGRAACAGTTCAGTGTGACATAGTGCCCTCAAGTGAACAGGAATATYATCAGCACATCTCTGGGCAAGCACCGTGGAAACATCTCCCACCCCTTTCCAGGGACACCCTTGTTTCCTGGGACCAGCGTTAAGTTTTAGGATGAGCCCTGCGCTCCCTCTTCATCCTGCCCCTGAAGTTCCTGCTTCGTGTGGTGGCTCATGCGAAACCTTGCAAAGCTGAGCTTAGCTGGACAGRGAACATCCATTTCTAGCCTTGTGCCCTGATTTCCATCAGGTGGATCAAAGAAGAGCTTCAGTGATGCCCAGACAATTTTGTGTTAGCCAGGCCCCAGTCAATTCTCTCAGTGCTGTCCCTGAAAGCCACACTGGCTTTTCCAAAGGCAGTCAGGGCATCTGGGAATCAGGGCATCAGTCCTGTCATGGGAATACCGAGGAGGAGGCAAATGCAAAATTCCAAAACRACACATAGCTGTTCTCAAATTGTTCAATTTCAGGGTCATTACACTTTGTCATGGCATCTTAGATTTTTGTGGGGTGGGTGTAGTGATTCTTGTGGAGCATCCCTTGCTCTAAGTGGACATCCACACAAACCCAGCGCTCCCAAGGGGATCCCATTGCCTKTCCTAGGGTTGGTGTGGCACATGTGGGTGGAAGGTGCCTCCTTCCACAGCTGGGAAAGCTGGTGGGGAGGGAAAGAATCTGCACTGCTTGTCCTGAACTAATGCACCTTCCTCACTCAGGTGGGTTTGGCGGAGCCAAAACCTTAACATCCTTGTCTTCTCTACACTCGCTCTAGGTATCAAACTGGTTTGGAAATAAGAGAATCCGGTACAAGAAGAACATAGGTAAATTTCAAGAGGAAGCCAATATTTATGCTGCCAAAACGGCTGTCACGGCTACCAATGTGTCAGCCCATGGAAGCCAGGCTAACTCACCCTCAACTCCCAATTCAGCTGGTTAGTTTTTACTTTTCTTTTTATTTTGGGTTGTTAGTGTTCGGTTTTTTGTTTGTTCTCCCCTCTCCCTTTAATCTCTCTCTTGTTTTCTGCTTCTGGTTATTTCAGCTTTTATTCTCTGGGTCTGGTTTGTTCACTTTCGTGGTCTTAAAAATAATTAAAAAGGGAAATGGGTCTGGTTTGGGGGGTTGTTTTGTGTGGCTTAATTTATTTTCTTTGCTTTTTTCCCCCTATTTTCTTTTTTTTTTTTCCTCTTCCCCTTCCATTTTTTCCCTTTCTCCTCTGTGTTTTGTTCTCTTTCCCCTCTGTTTTTTGTTGGAAAAAAGGATGTGATCAGACCTTGTGTCTGACTGGTGGTGCTGTGTTGCGGATTATATGCATGGATGGTAAACACAAAACCAGAAATATGATCCAAAAATGGTTGCTGGGATTGCTTGCACTTCCGGGGGAGGAAAAAGAAGTAATGGAAAAGTTGTTGCATAATGGTTTTGTTTCACTGGGGCTGAAAGCATGAGTGATCCTAAAGGATAAACCCCAGCATTTCGGGGATGTCCTAACTCATGCCATTTTGGGGGTTGTTTKGGGTCAATTTTTATCATTTGATTTTCTTTCTGTTGTGGTTATMTCTTCGATTGCTTACATGACAGTGTCTGGATCACCTGCAAGAGTGTGCTCTGTGTGAATTTTATTTTCACTTTGTGTCAGTGCCATCCAGAGAAATTCATGGGTCGTTCCCTTCCCTTCCCCCTTGCCTTCCCATTTGCTGTGATTTCCATTTGTTTGTTTTGAGAGTCAAAGGCACAGAGCACTTTGCCCAGATTTCAACTCCTCTGCTASAGAACGATGCTTAGTTCATGCCTGGTTCCTGCTGCAAGGTTGGCCGACCCAGAAATGATCTGGGGCTGCAGGTCCAAGAACAAAACTGGGATTTGTTTATAAGCAGGGAAGAAAGTGAATTTTCTGGGTGCCATGAACTTKTTATCTATGGAAATATCTGTGTGCCTGCCCACCACTTGCTTGCCCAGAGCTGCCTGCTCTGGTTCAGGTGCTTTTTGGTCTGGGGATTTTTGTTCCATTCCATTATTTGAACTGCTGAAGATTCAACTGCAGTTTCAAAAATGTCATTCTTTCCAAAGAGTTCACACAAAATACCTGGTCAGGTGGGGTTTCTTGCTGTAAACACCCCCTGTAGAAAAGGCTGGAGGGAATTCTGCTGGACAGGGCAGAATTGTGGGTGTTGAGGGAGATGCCTGCTGCCTGCAATGCTCTCCTGCAGCCCACACCACCCTGGACCAAAAAGACAGAGCTTTCTTTTTTTTTCTCTTTCTTCTACTGGAGGCAGATCCAAAGGTCTGGAATAGCAAGGGAACAGCTTCAGATTGCCTGAGTGGGTTTGGATCTGGGCTGCACGTAGGAGAACAGCTCCAGTGCAAGGCTGTTTCCTCCATTTCCCCACAGGCAGCAACACGGTTGTTTCAGAGATAAATTGGCCGGTGCCCTGCAGTAAACAGCTGAGATAATCCCTGGATAACACTGTGCTTTCAAGAAAGGACAAACAGTCCTGTTATTAACAGGGAAAACTTGAGCTCCTGGGTCCTCTTTGTGGCTCACTTGTCTGCAGTCTGGAGTCATTGACCTCTTTTCACGTGCCTGATGTGTCAGCGGTGCTAAAGCAGTGCGAGGGGAGCTCTCAGGCCACGGAGATCCTTCTTCTGCTACACATAAAGCATTTCTAACCTGGCCCAGGTCCCTCACCCTGCCTGCAATGCTGCAACAGTGCCAGAGCAGCAGGGAGGCCCYAGTTGCTCTGGGTCAGCTTAAAGAGAGAGTGGGTTTGGGTGTCCTTGTAGGTTCTCTCCTGAGAAGACAGCTGGAATTGCGTGACTTTTTTATCTCTGACAGTTGAGATCCCCCCAGCTGAGCCATGCAGATGCAACAGCTCAGTCAAACATCTCAGCCTTGRCACATTTTGGGACAAAGACACGCCCTGAGGACATCTGGAGTCGTGTGATCTCCCCTGCTTCAGGTTGTCCTGTAGGTCCTAGCAGCAAGAAGCGCACCTCTACGTGCTACATCTGAAATACCTGTCTGAGGAAGATTTGGATGATGATATCCAGGACCATGAGCCACCRTTCAGATGTGCTGAATTCCCCAGGGAGGAACATGGAAGTGGATGAAGAGGTGGATGAAGGACTAAGATGGTTGATGCATCTCCTTTTACACCATGGACTTCTATCTGTTCCCATATCATTGATCAGACTTYGGTGAAGAAGGAGCCTGAATAAAGATGAGGTGTTCTGGCAGTTTGTAGGACCTTCTGGTTTAAAAGCACTGTAGGGCATGTGGAAAGAAGGTAGACAGAGGACAGGTCATGAGAAGGCAATGACCAGCAGTGTAGTCCCTGGAGGGCTGTGATGTGGGAAGAGGAGGTGGAACTGGCTGYGGTGGGACCTGGGACAGGCGCTAAATTCATTTCTGCTGTGGCTGCCCAGGCCCATCTGTTCTCTCATTGATGCCCACGGTACTGGAGACTGGTGAATGGCTACAGTCAGTCAAAGAGATTGGCCACACATTGACAAGGGCAAGCACTGCATCTGTCTGGCCATCTGGCACGTTCGGAGCAGGGTCCCCCATCCTCAGTCACCCAGGCCTGAATGTCAAACACCTTTTCATCCCGAATATGCGCAGTTGGGCTTTATCAGCCAGATGTTCAAATAAGCTGAGATGTCTGGCTCATTTGGGCTAACAACTCCCCGTCCTCACTTTGATTGCCTGGACAATCTCAGCACAAAAACCACATGGCAAATGAAAGCTGTTTTATGTGGGCAGGCCCTTTTGCCAGCCAGAGTCCTCAAGGGCCACACACAGGTGATGGCATCCAGTGAAACCTTGAACATAGAGCAGCCAAAATTGTCCCAAGCTGGTTTTTGACCTGCTCACCCTTTTGTAAAAACCTTCTTGTGAAGCTGCTGCCTGGAAATGTACTTCATCAGGCACAGGTATCTTCTCTGCCTTCCTCCATTCGTGTCCAGAACACACCACTGGAGAGGACTCTGCTTCAGCAGAGGTGGTTCTGGTCATGGCTTCACTGTCCTGAGTGTTGTTTGGCAAGTGAAAAAGAGCAAATGTCCTGCTGGATCATCCCTGACTTTTAGACCTGCTTTTATACTCAGTGGCTTTCACCACATTCTTCTCTCATTTTTGGCCATGGTAGAGACCCAAAGAGAAATTACCGGAGGCATAAATCCTGTTCTCTCAATTCATGGATGTCATTGCTGTTGACTTCCATGAGGAATCTYGTAGGCATGACCAAAGTCACTTCAGTGGATCTTGGTGGTGGTAGATGGTATGAGGCAGCAGCTAAGGATGTCTTGATTTCAGCCCCAACAACCCTGTTTGTTTGTTCTTGATGCCGTTTGAATTATTAATACTTTGGAGAAAAGGACTTACTAGAGGTCCTGGAGGATTGGAGGTGGAAGTCAAGAATGTCAGAACACGGAAGACATTAGAGAAGCTGGAGAAGAAGCTCTCTGAATAGCTGGGAAAATGGTGCAAGAAACACCAGCAGTCAAGTTTGTGAAGGTTTTTGACTTGGAGGCAAAATTTAAATGGGTTTTGCACATCAGGAGTGTTAGGGGTGGAAAAATTCTCTCAGCAGGCATTGTTGTGATGTAGGTTTTTACCCAGGACAGGATCCAACTGCCATTGTTTGCTCAGACGTTTCCAGCACTCTTTCTGAAGCTGATGCTGGTCTGATAGAAAATCAGCACTAYGAAATAGCGGTGATAGGTCTTGGGTTTGAAATGATGTCTGGATGCTGAAGATGGACCGCGCTTCCACACTGCTACAGGCCATGGGTTTTCTGRTAGGTTTTTTTGTCTACACACAATAATTCCAGGGACTTTCATGCCAAGATCAGAGCCTTTTCATGCTGCATTCACAAGCTCAAAAATGAGCTTCCCTCTGTTGTTACCTCTCAATTCCTGAGGAACCCAGATCAGATTAACGACGGAAAGTGCTCTGGTGGAAGGATTTGACTTGTATTCCTGGACAGAGAGCAGAGAAAATCTGAGCCTTAATTCTCAGGGCTCTTCACACTGCTGCCCCCTGTCCCACCTGGRTGCATCAGCCCCTCTTAGCTGTGTCTCTGAGGCTTTGGGCCGTGGTGATTTTCAGGCGCAGTGAGCGCGCAGACGGCCGAGTGCTGAAGCAGCAGCGCGGCGRCGCAGAGGGCTCCGCAATTACGGCTCTGATCCAAATGCATCCATACATGCGAGGCCATTGCTATGCGCATATTTATCTCTGCATCCACATCAGCAGCAAGACATATTTACCGTTTAGATATGCACATATATTGTAAAAATACCCCTTGCCAATAGCAGTGTATATCTTGTAAGTGACATTTCCAGCGCTCCTCGTGATTTCTGAGACACCGTCGCTCTTCAGAACTAGAGTTTGTGGCTGTTTGTTTATTTTTATTTCCTCCCTCCCAGTYTCAATTTTATGGCCAGGTTTGTTAAGTTTCAATAAAATATCAGTTAAGTTTATGGCATTTTTATTTGTTATTGTTGTTATAATTTTCTTTTGGTAGAGGAAGGTGGGATGAAATGTTGCTCTGTTGGGGGCAGAGCGATAGCAGTGCCGTGCCAGGTGCTTAGGGATTCCAGAGTCCTCTTTCCAGCTCTGCCACTGATTATTTGTGTGATCTCAAAGATTCCTKCTCACCTCAAAAGAACAGGAGAATATTCTCTGCTTCTTGTGAGCRGTAGCTGCAGAGTCTTTTGGTTCACACTGTGGGAGTACAAAGCTGTCTTACTGCCCTGTGCTTTTATTAAGGTGGTCGAGGCAATCGCTCAGAAAATGGGGTCGGAAGCATCTTTGTGTGTGTGAACCGTGCCTGTCTTCACACTTAAATTTGGGCGCTGTCAGGGTGGGCTGTCCCCAGTCTGCCAGCTGGTTTTGCTAGGTTTTTTGCCTTTAAAATAGCAAGTAACCTGAGAGGTCGGGAAGTGACAGGAGCCCTTTGCCAGCCGAGCAGAGGAGGCGATGGTTACAGCTGCCTCCTGACTAGTCCCGCTTATTTTACGCAGCGCTGTGGGATTGCTCTCTGGAACAGGTTGGGCAGGTTGACAGTGAGCACAGACAATGAGCTATTCCTGGCTTCGCTCTTTTCAGGCACTGGTGGGAGGGTCCTGATCCAAGACTCGCTGTGTTCAAGACGTGTCTCTCTCTTGACTGTCTTGGGTGTTGTATCCAGCAGCGATGTTTCTGCTTTCCTTTCATTCTGAGAACTGCCAGCACCTGACAAAAGAGAGCAGCAGAGAATGTAGTGAATGTGAAGTCTCCAGCACAGACCTCCCACCTGCTCCCTGGCCTTTCTCAGAGGTGGCTTCCTTCGGAGGAGCCTTCCTGGTCCACCTCCAGGGCACAGCTGGGAGCTGTCTGTTACTTCCCTCTCCAGCAAAGGGAGGGGGATTGCCAGGCATTTCTCAGAGCGCACGCATGAGCCATAGTTGGGCAATTCCACCAGGACTGTGGTTGCCAGTCTTCCAAGCTGGAAGTGGCAGTGTGGATGAGGATGACCAGAGTGTATTTGGGACTGGAGCTGAAAGCGTAGCTGACCTGGGCCCCTGAAGTCTCTCCTTTCCAAGGCTAACGTCATGTATAACTAAACCTTGCACGTTGAGCTGTCTCACACTTAACGCGCTGATCTGCACGATAAATTCTGAAATAATCCCATAAAACCTTTTGATTTATTTTTAACCCCCTTGCTGCCTTCCCTGCCTTCCAGTTACATGATGGGTTTGTTTCTTCCGTTAAATGGAGGAGGTGCTCKGATATCTCAAACCTGGAACCATAAAACTTTGTTTCTGCAAAGACGGGATTTATTTTTTCGTTTGCGGTTATTTTTTCTCCTGATCCCACCCAGTTGTCTTCACCATTATAATTTTTTTAGCACAACACTGGCGACTGGTGCATGGAGTGGGGAATTTGCTTACAGAGCTTGTTCTTCTGGGGCAGTTGGCCCAGGAGGGCTGTGACACCCTTGTGTTGTCTCACGGGCCATCACAATGAAAGACTCTGKCCAGTGTGATGGGCACTGGGAGTCCAGCCCAGGAGCCTTCACATTTTTGGGAGCCTTTGCTCCTGGCGCTYTGCAGTTCCCAGCAGTGATGGGTTSCTGACRTCCTGAAGGCAAACCCCACRCACTGCTCCCTCACAGAGCCCCCGTGGCTCAGCCAAAGCTCCAGCCGTGGGCTGGATGAGGTGTGGATGTCTCACCCTGCAGGGAGCAGCACGGCATGGAATTACCCGCCCTGTTCCAAGTTTCTCGGCGTGGGCTCGGTTCGCCTGCTGCCAAGGCTTCTGCTCTCGATAGCGGGGCTTGTCTGGGTAATTCTGGTCTCCAGTGCAGTCTGCTGGGTGAACACCTCCAACAACCGAGATTTTTCAGAGCTGCCTGAAGGATTCTGATGCCTGAAATGAAGGGAAAGGGCTGTCCGAGTCCTCCAGGCTGTGCTTTGTTTGTCTCAGTCAAAAGCATGAAGAATCCTTCCTCCAGCTGAGGAGCTGTTGAAGAATGTTCTTGGCATTGAGCTGTAACAACATGTGGCTTTGAATAACCTCAAGAGTGCATCCTTTTTTTTAGCTTGCTCTGTTCTTCATACTACTAACCTGACTGTGTGTTTTGTTTTTGTGGTTGCTTTGCATGTTGTTCCTTCCTCTTGGCTGAGAGTCATGGGGTGGATCTTTTTCCTTTCTGTGATTCAGGTGCYTCACTCTTTCCTTTCCAGGTTCTTCCAGTTCTTTTAACATGTCAAACTCTGGAGATTTGTTCATGAGCGTGCAGTCTCTCAATGGGGATTCTTACCAAGGGGCCCAGGTTGGAGCCAACGTGCAGTCACAGGTAGGGACCCATCCGATGTACTGCCAGTGAATGCATTAGTGTTGGAGGAGCCTCTGATTGTATTGGCACTTCTCCCTCCCATCTGAAAAGAGCAAATCTCAACCAGCACAAACCAACCAACCAGCATTTAAAAAAGGCAAACCAAAAAAACAACCAAGTAACAAAAAAAAAAAAAGACGAACAGCAACAACCACCAATAAAACCAAAAACCAAACAAAAAAACAATCTAAAAGAAACCAAAAGCAAACACCCAACCAAACCAACAACCATGGTCTTGAGGAGACTTGCCCACACTTTGTGAATGCATTTGGCTCTGGCTTGACAGTCGTACTAGGAGGAGAGAAGGTATAGGAGAATAGGCACAAAGTCAAACAAAAGCAACTCAGGTTCAGGTTCTGCTTGCTTTATTCTTCCAAGGGAAGGGGCCAGATGTTTGGACTGGTGTCTCATTTTGCAAGACTTCCACTTACTCTTTTGATGCCAAACCAAGTGTCTGCTGAAAGGCAATAAATGTTCAAGCATAGTTAAATTCTTTTTCATTTATTTTTTTTATAATGAAAAGCCACTCTTGACCATATCCCCACCTCCCCAAAGCACAAGCACTCACACCACCCTGTACACCAGGAGGAGAGAGCAAGGGAGCTTTGAGCAGCATTGCTGAAACGTCAACCCATGCTTGGGGCAAAAAGAAAGAATTYAAAATAGCCAGGATCTCACTCAGATCTCCCACCTCCCATCCAATGTCCATATATGCCATGAGTCCCCTCTCTGACATCTAAGGCTCTGTTCTGTGTTGAGAGATGACAGCCACTCTGACACTTCTGCATTGGGCAAGGAGAGCTCTCTAAAGGCGAGGCTGCTCCCGCGTGGAGCTGGACATGGAGCACGCATCATCCGTGGGTGGTGAGACGTGCTTACCACACTTGCCACTGCTGGGGCTGGGCTGGGGGAGTGAGGGAGAGGAACAGGGCACCATGAGGAGAGCTGCTGGTGCATTGCCAGGTAGGTGTATTTCCTTCCTGGGCCCTCTGCAGTGACGGCACTCAGCCAACTCCAAAGATCTTCCACTGCCGTGAGCTTCCCAGTGCTTGGGGTCAAGGGTGGAAGAGGGTAGGGGTAGAAAGGTGGGTCCTTGAGCTCAATAAGGGAGATGGCTGCATCGATGTGCTCCAGGAGATGTCACCCCACATTGATCACGCTGTTCTCCCTCTTCACTCTTTTTGTCAAAGGACTTGGGACCAAGGAGAGTGTGACAGGGCTGCTGGGGCAGGCGAGGGATGGGGAGGGAGGCAGGAGAGGTCCTCTGGCTCATCTCTGTCCACAAGACCAACTGCGGCTCACTTTTACCCCTGTTTGAATGTTATACCTTTATTTTTATTATGATGATGATCATGATTGTTGTATTACTGTTGGTTTGCTTTTATCTTGCCAAAGATGAACGGAAGCGGCTTTGGCCACTAACCTTTCACTCCTTCTAATTTTCTTCTTTGTTGTCRTTGGTCTGTTTAGGTGGATACCCTTCGCCATGTTATCAGCCAGACAGGAGGATACAGTGACGGACTCGCGGCAAGTCAGATGTATAGTCCGCAGGGCATCAGTGTAAGAAAAAAAACAGGCTTGGATTTTCTGGTCTTTTGGGGTTTTTTTCTTSGTTTTTGTTTCTCTCACTACCAATTATTTCAAAGCCATAGGGCTCAGAATGCCACTTAGGAGGACTTGTCTTTGCTTTTACGGTCACCTAGTTTATTGCTTCTGTATCGGTCACGCCAACGGCGGAGCTGTGCCCACAAAAAAGTGGCGCCGGGGCAGGCTGTGTGCAGGCAGCTGGCGTCTCGGACTGTCACAGCCCATCAGCGTTCGCCCGGCACCTGCGGCCACGCGCGCTCGGCCGAGAGGAGCTGCTAAACAGGTGACACCTCATGTAACCACGGTGGGGAATGTCACCGCAAACGCCCTGGCCCAGAGGTGGCTCCACGCGGAGGCCGAYGGTGCCGTCCCGGAGCCACCGGCTAAAAATAACGCGTCCCTGGCCGGCGTCCGAGAGCGCCGCGGTGATGGGGTTGGCGGCGATGGCGGTTGCGAGGAAAAGGGAGGAAAAAACCCACAAAGCCAACCAACATCAACCCAAGAAAACCTCGCCCAAGCGGGCTGGGGGAGGATGCGAGGGGGAGGGCGGTCTCTGGAGCATCTTCTCCTTGTTCTTGGGTGCGCTGGCGGGTTCTGACTAGCATGAAAATTCGTAGCGACAAGCTGTGTCGCACAGGGGGAAATTGATCAGACACACACAAGGAGAACCCAGTGTAGATTCGGGACAGCAATCCAACTTCATTTCTCAGATCAATCGTCCACCATCTCAGCRGCGATGACAGCAAGCTGGGAGAGGAGGGCAGCCTGGAAAAGGAGGCTGTGAGCGCTGAGTGGGTGGTGGCAGCGGTGTCCGGGGTGGCGCAGAGGAGGGGGAGGCTGGCCCTGGAYGTGGCTGGCTGTCACAGGAGGCCGATGGCTGAGGTGGAGTGGTCTTGAGCTGGGCAGGGAGGTGATGGTCCTCCAGGTGAGATGGTGGTCCTGCAGCTGAGACTCCAGCATGGCACACCATCCGGTCCATCACCCTCCAGTCCACTGTGCCATTTGTCACCTGGCGTGTGACCATCTTGCATGATGGCCATCACCAGCGCAGGGAGAGGGCATAGGGAGAGGGGTGCCCTGGGATGGGGTGCTCTGCTCCCCTCTCCTGCGGGCACCGAGGCTTAGTGGGCGGCTTGACGTCAGGAGGCAGAGGCAGGGAGGATTTGTGAAGTAATGTAATTGAACATGTGCAGATAATTATGTCTCATTACATAAGCCCCTTGCAAAAACGGCACTTGGAAATGCCACATGAAAGAGCCTATCGTTCCGCATTAATTTCTCCGTGCGCTGAATTTATTCCCTTTCTGGCTTTTTAATACTTGGAGAGTAAATGAATCGCAGGCTGATCATGATAAGAGATGATACTTTTGTATAAATTAAAATACCCCCAAGGAAAGAGGCTGAGCTGATTACAGTTGCAGTTGGCTTGGAAAATAACAGTGGGCTGGGTTAAGCCAAAATTTGGGGGGGAGGGTTGCTGCCGGGGATTATGAGGCAGAGAGGGGGTGATGGGGAGGAGGAGAAGGAAGAGAGAGTGAAAACTCAAAATCCGAATAGGATGAGGAGAGCTGGGTTGGTTTCTGGCTGGGGTTCTCTGTGGGAGAGCCAGTGTTCCCATGAGCAGCGACGAGAACTAGTGAGCCGAGAGTGGCAGGGGCTCAGCGGTCCCCTTGTCCTTCCCAAATGGAGACCTGGCATGTTTGGCATCTGATGCCTTCTCATGGTGGTCTTTAGGGAGGGCAGGAGCCCAAACTGACCAAAAAARAAGTGGATGTTGTCAAGAGAGGGGCAGGGTGGCAAAGGGACTCACGGGTGTGTGGGTGACTCCTCAGTTCTGCACAAAGCTGTGGTAGGCACGAGGAATGAGACAGGAGTCCAGAGGTGGGCAGATAGTTTAGGAGCCACCTTCTGGATTGCTTCTTTGTCCCTAAATGTTTTGTTTCTCCTGTCTCCCAGTCAGTGTGCTCCAGCCTGATTGTCACTTAATGTGTTCCCACCCAGTGAGGTCCCTTGATGAATCCCAGTTTGTCCACGCTGAAGTGTGGCTGCCCTTTYGGAAGCATTGGTCCTGGGGAACTCCTCAGTGCTGGCATGGTGGCTGACTCCAACAGGCAGGGCTTCCCTGCCTTTCCCTGAACCCTTCAGTGCTGAGGAGGGGCAGCGGAATGCGGAGCAGAGCTGATTGTGACACAGAAAGCTGCCGTCCCCGCATCACCCGAGCGTCCCCGTGAGCTGCTGGAAGGAGATGAGCCGAAACCTAGTCAAGAGCCCTGTCACAATGATGTCTGCACGGGGCTGAGGTTAAGTCATCCCCGGAGCCCGTCAGCACCGGGAAGTCAGCGGCAGGTTGCCCGGCTCCGCTGCTGGAAACCTTGGCAGGGGAGACAGCGCTCGGGGTTTGCCTTCCTTGATGGAGGATGAATTCTTAAACGCGTGTAAGTGGTGACAGCTGAGRAGAGGGATCTACCCAAAGCCCAGTTGCCTTTGTGGCTCTGCTGCTCTGGCTGACAGGCTGCTCCGCAGGGCGGGAAGGGCTGGAGCCGGTTCTGCATCGTTAGCAGRATAATGGGCAGTGTCCCAGGCATCACCAGCCCCGTGACCCAYGGCCATGGCTGAGGCAGAGGGACAACTGAGCCTTCTCCACAYGTGGGGACAGTGCCGGTCCCACAGAGGGATGGAGACGCTCTGACAAAGGATGGATGGTTGAGGCAGGAGCTGTCTTGAGGATACCCAGCCTGGGATCGTGCTGGGGAGGGGCCTCTCTTCCTTTCAGGAGGTTTGGGGCCTGAGCCAGCCCTTTTGGCACACTTTGAAGCTCTAGGGTTTTGCACCACGAAGTGAGAGTTGTTAAATGTCTGGGCTGTCTGGACAGTGTTTGTTCATGGGGATTCACATGTGTACCCAGGAAATCCCTGAAAATTGGGGTTTCAAAGCATTTAGGACAACTCAGGTTCTGTTCAGTTCCAGTAGAAGTTGGATCTTTATTGCGTTATGACCCAGAGGGTCTCACCCCAAAACATCACCTTTGGGTGATGGGCACCTTTGGGTGCACCTTTAGGGCTGCCACTGCCCTATGGCTGTAAATCCTCAGAGGGTTCTAGTTCACCCAAATGCTAATAAATGAGTGAACTACAGTTATCTTAAAGCCCTTTCAGAAACTTGTTTTTGGACTTAATTTAATTTGCAGAGTATTTAAAAGTATAAAATAAGGGACTGTTTTTGAAGTCCAACAGTRTGTGAAGTTTTTGATTTAAACCAGCTGCTGTGCAGAGCTGTGCCTGTTCACATAGCAGTGTGTGTGTGAGCAGGATGGTGGTGGCCAGTGGCAGGGTGTGACAGGGAATTTTGCATCCACTCTTGTCAGCAAGGATTGGTWCATGCAGAAGCTGAGAGTTCCTTACTTGACCTGAGATCTTTTATGCTAAGAATTTGAGCTTGGAGAAGAAAGSTTTTTCTCGGCTCCTCAGCCAGCTGTGGTTCACCATCATGGTCAAGCTTTGGTTCATGGTTCTGGCATGGATTTGGTCACAGGAGGTGGGATGCCGAGACAGGCTCTGTGCTAAGCAGAAGGCGCCTTTAAAAATTGGCAGAAAGTTGTGTCCCGGCCCCACGTAGGAGGCCCGGGCAGGGAGCCAGCCAGACTTGCTGGAGGTGACAAAAATGCTGAGACCTGGGGAAATGGGCACCAAAACCAGTTGCTTCAGCAATCTATCACCAGGGCTCCAGACTTGGACAGTCACCAAGGCTTTGCCTGTGCTTTGGCACCAGAAGGTGACAATTGAAAAAATGTCCCGGAGACCACTGCACTGTCTTTGGTATCTGAAGAAGTCACAGCTGTGTGCAGGGGCTCTGCAAGGAGCAGCAGCCTCCTCAAAAGACTCCTTTGCCTTTGAGGGAGATCCCAGCTGATTTACTACAGTTAAACCCCAAGGGATCTGCTTGCATGGRAGAGGCAGAACCGTCCAGGTGGAATCAGATGAATCCTGCACATGGCTTGGTCCATGCAGCAGTGGAGTAAACTCCAGGATGAGTGGGGATGCTGCCTGCATGCCCTCTGCCTGGGGAAGGATCCACCCTGCTCACAGAGGCCTTGTCCATACCAAAGGATGGTGCCAAGATGTCACAGCCARCCTTGGGTCCTCCTTCCCACTGCTGGACCCACAACTCGCAACCTTCCCAGGCTGGCTTGGCCTCTCCCCAGCATTCCCTTGACTTCCCACTGGGTGCAACCAAGGCTGTGTTCAGCCACTCAAACTCCTAAAGCACAGGAAGGCTCATTCCCAGTCTGCAGCAGCACTTCCGAGGATTTTGGGGAGCAGGGTGCCGAGCACAGATCCACTGCCCCATTGCTCCTTCCTGTGGCTGGCAGGCAACAGCCTTGCTAAAAATAGTGAGCACAATAGGGCCGGAGCCCTGCTCCATGCGGCCCCCGCCACTCTCCCCCCTCCTGCTCGCCGTAACGACCCTGCAAACACTAAATGGCATCTGAGTGCATTAAGCAGCAAACTCTCCGGTGACATAGCAATTACGGCTCTGAAATAGATTTGGTGCGTCACGGAAGATAAGGGTTTTGAAAGTTTCTGTTGTGATTATAGCTTGTAACTCCAACAAATAACAGGCTTGGTAATAAGAGGCTGCCAGCGCAGCTATTGTGGTTCTCTCTCACTGATGGCACGTAAATTGCTATTAATGTCCTAAGTGTACTTGAATATGCCAGTCTCGGGGCGGCGGAGTTGGCTCTGTGTCTCTCTTTACGCGGCCTGTCATTGTCGGGCTGATAATCTACGGTAATTGCTGCCTCTTGCAGCAGTCCAAGATGTGTAAGGGTGGATATTGCATCTTGGGGAGCGTGGGGATGGTGGGTCAGGGCCTGGGGGTGGCTGGGAGCYGGTGGGGGCAGTGGACGTGGGGTACACGGGTCTGAATGTTTCTGCCTGGTCTGGTTTCACACTGCACCCAAGGTGGAGTGGAGTGGGGTTTGCTAACCTGTGAACAAGCTCAGATTGTGATTCCTGCTTTCCTTGCTGTTGCCTGAAGCCCCTTGGCTCCCACRCACACATGGAAGAGCACACAAGCCCAGGGAGGGGTCTGTGCGTGCCTTTTGTCTTTTTTGCTTTGTGCACATCCCGCTCTGAGGTGTCCTGACCCTTCAAACGTGGGTCCCTGTGGTCAGCTCTGCTCCCATCTCAGCTGCCCCAGCACCTCAGGATGGGGAACCTCCCTACCCTGTCCCCTCCCGGGTGTGTGGGGTCCCAGCTGGCACCAGTGTTGGATGGTGGAGGCAGTGGGACGGCAGCTGGAGCGGGCAGAGCAGCCCGGGCGTGTCTAAAGCGGGACAGCGACTGCTGCCAACTGCAGCTCGGGCAGTGGTTGGGAAGGATTAATTAGCCAAGCACTGAATCAATGTCAGAGCAAGCAGAGGAGGCTGGGTGTGACATCTGCTCCTCTCCGAAGGGGATGGCAGCCGTGGAGGAGCAGCTTCTGCGCGCTGCCGGCTCCTGCCCGCGGCAGCCGGGCCCTCGGGTAGCGCAGCTCTCCGGAGCCTGGAGAACTCGGCTCTGCATCTGGTTCTAGGAGAGGAAACAAGTTGTCTGCCATGCTTTGCTGCATGAACCTTTGGATGGGATACAGTGGTGGCATTTCTGTTATGCTGAGGCCTGGCTGCCCTTGGTGTGGTGGGGACGTGGAGCTTTTCTGGGGGACACAGCGCAGCTCAGCAGTTCCATTGCTTGCTCTGTGTGTTCACAGCACCTGGGTTCAGGTAACATCCAGGCTGGTGGCTCTGCGTGAGGTGTGAGGTGTTTGCTATTTTGTTTCTTCCGCTTGAGGAAGGGCCATAATGAGGGGTTCAAAAACCCCGAACAACCAGAGCTCAGAGTTCTGGAGAAACAGGGTTTTATTAAGGGATGGACTTTGTGCATACACTGGCAGTTTATCAGAATCTATTTCCAACAGAAATGTTTCTGGTCCTATCCCAGTGGTGGAGCCCCGTGGTCTGGGGTGGGATGGGATGGGGCAGCTAGAGGGGACATCTTTGCCTCCTACAAGAGGCAGGGTGTGTACATTGGGTTGGGCTGTTTGTGCCTGGCCATCGGGTGACTGATACCTCCGTCTGTCCTTTGCTGCAGGCTAATGGAGGTTGGCAAGACGCTACTACCCCATCGTCGGTGACCTCCCCCACAGAAGGCCCTGGCAGCGTTCACTCTGATACCTCCAACTGATCTCCCAGCAAATTGCATCCCTGGCTGAGCCGGCCCCGGCGGGGGCGGGAGGGGAGGGGGCCTCTCCTAACACCGCAGCAGTCAGACTGGAGGTGAACCCAATCAGCACACACAAGAAGACTCCTTCTCTTCTCTTCTCTTCGTCGGGATGCTTTTTTCAGCCAATCTGGACACTTCTTTATACTCTCTTCCCTTTCTTTTCTGGGTAGAAGCCGCTCTCCCCCTCCCCGCCACCGCCACAACACCGCTCCCTTCCCCTCCCCTCTTCCCACCGAAGGTAGAAGGATTTTAAGGAGGAAAAGCAAAAATCCACCGCCACCACGCAAACCGACCCCAGAGCAGTGCACAGCCTCGTGCTGGGTGTCTTTCTGAGGAGCCACAAATGTACCTCAGCCACGTCTCGCCCCCTCGCTAGCAGGCAGCCCCCTGCCCCTACCTCTCACGCTACCTCTCGTAGGGAATCGCCACCATAGGGAATCTGCACCCACTAGTGCTTCCCCTCCTGCACCCAGCCCTGCCCTGCCCTGGTGAGCTGTCCCTCACGTGCCCCCGTGCACCTAGAAGGAGCCAGCGTGCTCCCCTTTGCTTCCAAAAGGTACCGTTCCCATTCCCAGCCCCGGGAAAACTGCCAGCACCTCCCAATCCCAGTCCTGCTCGGCCTCACATCCTGCTGGCTGCCATGATCTGGATGAACCATGAGACCCTGCCATCCTCCCTGCCTGTTGCTGGAGGGGAGAAGAGGAGGGAAGGAAGGGAGAGAGAGGTGGGTGAGAAGTGGCCATCACTGGTAACGGTGGTGCCAACACCTCCACGGAGGCGTGTGGGATCAGGCACGGATGGGACACCAGCAGTTCTCTCAGAGCACCTGGAGAGGCTGGTGGTGGAGGTGTCCTGGTGAGGGCAGTGTCACGGGGTGTGGGCTCCTGTTCCTGGCACTGGAGAGGAGGAGCTGGGTTCCCCAGTGCGGGCAGCACCCRCAGAGGTTTGTGCCACCCCTGCGTTCCCAAAGCCCTGCCGAGGGCTGGAAGTGCTGGGCTGAGTGTCTCGGGTGCTTTTGGTGGTGCTTCCTGCCACAGGTTTGCTCTGTAGGATGGGTGGGTGCCCCACTGGGGGATGTCAGAGTGCTGAAGCTGCTGGTTTCACCCCAGGAGTCCCCMCAGGGCAGTGGCCATGGCAGAACTCGTGGGATTTTCTGCACAGCTTTTCTGGTGCGCTGCTGGGAAAAGCGGTGGTGGCTGGCAAGTGAGGCTTCATCCTGCCCTTTGAGGCTGGTGCTGGCAGGASATGGCTTTCATGGGAGAGCAGCACCAGTTTTCCTGGGCAGTGGGCTGAGCTTCCTGCCAGGGTGGGGCTTTTGGCCATGGGTTCTTCTGGGGGGCACGAGGAGGMTGAGCCAGCCTGCATCAGGACCCTGGGTGCCATGGGGACTGGTGTGGGTGCAGGATGTCTGGCACCTCGGGATGGATCCTGGAGTCCCTTGGGGTCAGCACCTCATGCTGTTGGATGTCCATGCCCACCCTGCCTGTGCTGGTCTCGACTGGGAGCTGCCAGAGCTGTGCCAAAAGTAATTCCACCCTTTGCTGGAATGTGTCCTTACGGTGGTGGTGTGGCCCCGGCTCTGACAATGCTGTCACCTTGCAGTGCAGGGGCTTCGTGTGGCCAGYAGTGACACTTCCTGCTCCTTTTGTGTCCATGCCTGCAGCTGTGGCAGGGCAGGGTGTGACAGGAGGGCCATGGGCTGTCCCCCAGCTGTGTGTCAGAGCATGGAGAAGGTGTTTTCCCTGCAAGGACAGTCGGGAGGTGCTGCCCACCGTCCCCAGCCCTGCACCTTCCCACTCTCCTCCTCTTCCCGTGGCCTCCCTCAGTGCTGCCTTTTGTCCACTTCCAGCTTGTTTTACACCAACAGTTCTGGCAAAGCRTTCCAGGGATGCAGGACTGGGTCAGGCCTGTTCTCCCGAGCCCAGCAGTGTGGGAATGCCACCACCCCCCTTGGAAACCCACTGGGAACGAGCCAAACCCACCAAAAATGAGTTTGCAGGAGCCAGCCCACGCTGCCCTGCCCTGCTCTGCCCCTCCTGCCTGTCCCCCTGCCCAGGCTGGGCCCTTTGCTCCTCCAAGGTACTTTGCAAATTCGCTCCTGGGTTCCCCAGCTGCTCCCTCCAGTTTGTGTTGGCGTAGCTGCTTGCTTGCCTTTTTTCTTTGCTTTGTTTTTATTTTTGGGTTTTGTTTCTCCTCCCCTGTTCTCCTCCCCCATTCTCTTCCCCTGCTCCAGCCCCGAGTGTTGTGGGGTTTTTTTCTTCTTCTTTTTTTATTATTTTTTTTTCTGCCCAGAAAAACCTGACTTCGATACCAAAAAAACAAAACAAAACAAAACAAAAAAAAACCACAAAAAAACACAAACAAAAAAAAAAACTGCAGAAACTCAAAAAAAGTAAAAACTAAAAAAAAAATCACAAAAAAAACTCGACGATTCTTTCAGCTTTATTAACATTTTCCATTGTTTCTTGCGATTTGTGTCTCGTTCTTTGTAGTATTGATGATAACGAACATTTGATAATGAATGTTCTTGTATATTCAGATAAAGGAGAAAAAAAAAACCAAAAACGCAGTCGGAATTTAATAGTGTTTATAATAAAAGAATAAAAAATGACCCTCTTAGCACGCAAAATTGAACAGGGGGAAGGTCCTGTCCCTGTTCTTTCTGTGGCAACAAGCGCTTCATTCCTGTATAGTTTATAACATCAAACTACCTACATTCATCCTCCTTTTTTTGTTTGTTTGTTTTTTCCCATGGTTTGGTTTTTTTTCCATTTTCTCGCATTTGTGAATTAGTTCAAGAATGCTAGAAAAGTGTAGAGTTGTGCACACTCATTTCTTCTTACACAATGTTTAAAAAGTGACGGTAATTCATTTTGTAAAACTTTAAAAAGAAAAAAAAATGGTTGGAATAGTGAGCATTAATAGGTACAGTCTAACACTTTATGTTTCTTAACGTTGAGACCCAGAAATGAACCTTTTTATTTTATTTTTTTGGCATTATTTGGGATGGGAGGGGGGGGGGCTTTGATGATGATRATGATRATGATGATGATRATGATGATRATGATGATGATGATGCTGAGTTTATTTTGACCTGTCCAAGACGATGGCCTTGTCGCTTCCCCCACGCTTTTGAGCTGTGACCAGAGTGATGTGAAAAGTGATGGTGATGTTTTTGGGGGGATCGTTTCTCTTCTCCCCACTCCTTTGGAGTTCCAGTTCCAGCAGTTCCTTGTGTGGCTGCTCTGGGGCCGAGCAATGGGATTACATCTCCCAAGAGAGACGGAATTCCGAGGGTTTTGGGGAGGGGACGGGGACTCAGGCCCTGAGCCCCCATGGGTCTCCATGCTGGGGGTGTTGCTGAGCTGCCTGGAAATGATGAAAGGGCAGGAATCCTTCCCAAAATGTGTGCAAGCCTGTGCGCCCTGCCCTGAATCCCGGGGTCCCAAAACTGAAGGATTCACAGCAAGGAATGTTCCAACCTCATTTCCCCCATGGACCTTGCTGAGGATGGGCTCTCGCAGCCTGACCTCTAGCCCTGGCTGCATCAGAGTGCTGAGATGGGACGAGTGGTGGGATGTGGCCAAAATGTCCCCAAATGCAGCCCCAAATCCCGGTGGCTGCGGAGTGGGGTTCAGGGAGAAGCGCTGAGGAAGGTGCGGGTTGGCACCGCTTCAGTTCTCTCTTAAAACGTTTTCCTGCTCTTCCCAAAAATCCTGAGCTTTTCACATCACTGACCAGTTAAGGGTTTGGGGTGTTACTTTTAATCCCAAGGTTTCCTGGAGTCCTTTTGTTTTCATACACCTTTGTTATTATTATTATTTTATTATTATTAAGACGATGTAAATCAGACATTGCCTGGGGGGGTTGGTTTTGTTGGTTTGCTTTTTTTTGTTCTTGCAAAGCCCTTTCTATCCCTTGTAAAGGTGATCCAGTTTGGAGTTGCTTTTTCTTTTCTATTTTTTCCCCCCATCTTTTTTTTCTCTCTTCCTAATGGATTCCAAAAAAAAAAAAAAAGAAAAACCATAAAAAAAAAGACTCTCTGTTCCAACCTGGTTTTGAAACTTTAAGCTTTTCTGCTTCTGTAAAGAAAAAAAAAAAGGCCTCTGTCTTTCTGATCCCAATTGAAACTTTTATGTTCTATGACGATACTAACAAGGTGTAGGTTTTACAGTTTCCTGATTTGTACTGGTAATGCATATTCCAAATAAATAGTTTCTTTTGTTGCAAAAAAAAAAAAAAACTAAAAAAAAAAAAAAAACCTGAAACCAAACCTGGTGTATTTTTTGGGGAGGAAAAAGAGGAAAGCGAGATACCCTGGGGATTTCTCTGCGGGGTGCAGGGTACAGGAGTGGTTTGGGGTGCAGTGGAGGGGGTTAACAAAGATAATAAATACCCTGATGCTGGGTCTTGTGCCTGGTGGTTTGACCGTGGAAGCCAGGGGGATGCGATTTGGGATTCTGCCTGAGGCACAGCATCCCTTGTACCTCCCTCCGCCCTCCTTGTGCCTCAGTTTCCCTTTGTTTCTTGGACGTGTGGATTTGCCCATGCACAAAAAAAAATATTCAACCGTTGATTTTCATCGCTGGTTCACTGCTTTTCTGGATTTGTTAGTGCACTTTGCAAAAAAAAAAGCTAGAAAGGGATTTTCTTTATCACACCAAGGTCTGGGGCAGAGCTGCAGAACAGGGGAAGGCTTGAGAGCCTCTCCTGTTTTCCTGGGGGGTTTTGCTTTTAAAAAAAAAAATTGAAAACGTTTCTGAGAAGGAGAAAAGTAATTTTAAATTTAAAAATAATTTGCAATTTTAAAAAGAGCTCGTGCGTAGGACGAAAACCAGGACAGCTCTGTCTCGTCCCTRGAGATAGCGATGGAACAGGGGGTGGCTGGAGGGGGCGGCTGTGATTCCTGAGCCGGAGAAAGGCGGGATCTGTGGATCTGTGCCACAAACACCTCCGCCACCCCGCAGGGACCCGGGCGGATGGGAAGGATCCCCTCGGGAAGGCGGCGATGCTGGCGCTCGCCCGGAGCCGCCGCCCCGCTCCCCCATGGATTTCTTGTCAATGATTATTCAATCTCCAGCCTGACCTTTCTCTTCTAAATAACACGGCAATATCAGCGCGGGCCAGCCTCCAGCTCCGGCTGCAAATTAACTGTATCGCTCTCCGGCAGGAGCCCCCCGGAGCTGCCCGCGCCGCCCCAGGAATTATCTCCCTCCGCCGCTGCTCTCCTAATACCAGTTTAAATATCAGCCTGCTCCCAGCTGTTCGCCGCTCATAAACGCTCGGCCCGGCTCCGAAAGCGCAAATGCCACGTCTCACCGGGCCCCGGTGTGGGAATGGCCCCAGCGAGGCGAGTGGAGTGCTGAAAGGGGCGAGCGGAGCGCTGCGAGGGGCGAGCGGATGCTCTTTGGGACGGGGGGTCCTTGGCTCGCGTCCTTTGGTGTCTTTGAGCACCTGGCTCCTCTCCCAGCTCGTGTCTTTGCCCCTTTCTGGCAAAAAGAGGTGGTTTGAAGGTGGGGAAAGGGCACATGCAGCCTCCTGGAGCGCTGTGGGTGGCTGAGGAGCCGGGCTGGGTGCAGCATCCTGCTTTCCCTATTCCCCGTCGCTGGCTGCTTGTGAACGGGAAACATGCAGGAGCCAAACTGGATTTTTCCTCTCCTCCTTGCTCTCTCCCTCTCTGCATCCTCACCTTTCCTTTCTCCCCCCACCACTCACCGATAGGATTTTTTTTCCCCTCTATTTCCCCGTCCAGCCCTGGGTGAGAGCAAACCCCGAGGCGCACCTCCTGCATTCTTCCCATTTCACATTATATTATTTCACACCAAAAATCGGAGGAAAAAAGACACGGCACGCACTGAGCCCCACATATTCCCCCTCAAGAAGGAGACCAGCCCGTATCCTGGGATGCTCCCCTGGGGCAACTCCTGACCGTGCGATGCCTCCGGCAGGTTTTTCTCACCGCAGGGCGCTGCCGGCATCCCTGGATTGGGATCCCAAAATGTTCCCTGCCCGCTCCCGCACCGGGATCCATCCCTGCGGCAAAGAGCGCGGGCTGGGACCCACACCCCCGTTATTGATAACCCTCCCCACCTAGCCGAGGGGCTGGGAGGTGTTAAAGTTACAGTTTGCAGTAAAGCCCCGTCCGTTTGCAGGAGAATTTAATATACGGCACAAGTTTCGCCTATAAAAGGCCAGGGTTATGTTTTCCTCCAGTTCACCGCGAGTCTATAACTTACGACCTCCATAAATGTGAGTGGGTCTCGCAAGTCAGCCCATCAGTCTTTGGAGTAATTCTGCTTTGTAGTAAAATATTTTATTGTGCCTGGGATGCAGGCAGCCCTCCCCCCGGGCCCCACTTTCCCGGGGTGGGTGGGAGGTGATGGCTGTCCCCACGTCCCTGCTGCGATGCTGCCCGTTTTGAGGCTAAAAAAAAATAAAATTAAATAAAAGAAAGGAAAACAAAGTAAAATAAAAAAAATATAAAATAAAATAAAATAAAATAAAATAAAATAAAATAGAATTACAACGCAGTGAAAGCAAATAATAAAAAGATTAAATAAGATAAAAAAATAAAGGTATAATAAAATGAGTATAAAATTAAATTAAACAAAATAACCCCAACCAAAATAATAAAATCAAATTAAAAATTAAAATAAAGTAAAGTAAAATAAAATAAAATTACCCTGCCCCCGGGCATGAGCTATTGAGAATGTGTGCCGCACCTTTTAATTATTGCTAATGAGGTAGAGCTTTAATAGCTTTACAGGGGAATTGTGGCATCTTTCTGTGTGCCGGCAGTGCCGGGGGTTGCGTGGGAAGAAGGAACCCAGGGATAGCGGTTTGGGGGGATGCTCGATGATGGGAGAGGAGGAGGATGGCGAGGAAGGAGCCCAGAGGAGGGGGCAGATGGACGGCACAAAGGCAGGGCTGGACCAAGCCGAAGCAGAAGAAAAATATATCAAAAACCAGGGGGAAAAAAAAAAAAAAATAAAAAAGTCATCACTGCCTTTCCAGCTCRCCCATCCTCTGGGCCACCCAGCTCCTTCGTTCAGCCCCAATCCCGTTGCCTGCAGCCATCGCTGGCCCCGGGCAGGGCAGCTGAGGGGCGCAGGGAGAGCCCAGCTAATTAAAAATGCAAATGAAGGCTGGGGCCACACGGCTGCTGTCGCCTTCCGAAGGTGCAAATTACGAGAGGGGTTTGTTGGCTCTTTCGGAGCAGAGCCGAGTCCCCTTCCTCTGCCTGCGCCGCTGGGACGGGCTCGGTCCTTCCTCTGGAACATCCAGAACAGGGGAAAAGGTGACAGAAAAAAGGACGGGAGAAAAGAAAGATCGTTTGAAAGAAAAAGAACTTTCCCTGCTTCTTGTTGGTTTTGTTTTTCCTTTGTTTTCTTCCCAGCTTCCCCCCCTTGGAAAATGATTCTTTAGAATGCAAAGAGATAAAATCAGAAGCAAATACTCCCTAAAACAGAGAGTTTAAAATTAAATGAGTAGGGGGCTAAAGCTGCCAGCATCTCCCTGCCACACCACAAATGCCTCAGTCCTGCTCCATCCCGGCTGGTGGTGGCACTGTCCCCAAATATTCAATGCACGCTTGGGAACACTGCAAAATCCCAGCTGCAGCGCACCCGGCACGGAGATTAAAGCCAGAACAGTGGCTGTGGGGTGACCCACGCTGGCCGTGTCCAGACAAAACCCCAAACTGAAGCTGATCTCCCCCAGCCCTTCCAAAGCTGGGTTTTGCCCGATTCTGCCGGTTTTGGGGGCGGTTTGGCAGCGGCGGGCGGCGATGGCAGGGACCGCGCCAGCGATTCTCGCACTCGCTGACTCAGCTCCAGCGCAGCTCCCTTGTCCTGCTGCTAATTAGGCTCCAGCCTCTCATCTCGTTAATAAGCTTCCAGTTCATTTGCANAAAAAAAAAAAAAAAAAAAAAAAAAAAAAAAAAGAGTGAAAGCAAGCAGCTCGTTTTACCTTCAACATGTGGCTAATGCTTATTAAAATATTTAACCTTTTATTATGGCACGGGAGCATCTGTTCCAGCTGATCCCGGGGTTTTTCCTGCCTGCCCGCCCCTCCCAGCGGGACCGCCCCGCTATAAGGGACACCCTATGGAGGGTCCCCACCTGTGCCCGCAGGCTCGCAGCGCTTGGGGCCACGGAATCTGCGCTAAAACACCGGGTATTTCAGCTCCTGGGTCGGTGTCTGTGGTTTGCAGCATTGCCAGAGCCTGGCTGGGGCATTAAAGGGATGAATCCCATCGAGCAGCCCCAAAACTCGTTCTCTGCAGCCACTGCACAGAGCCCCTACCCATCTAAACATGCAGGGCCCTGCTGGTGACACCCTGCTCCTGCCCAGACCCCTCTCCGGTCAAGACCCTGCCCTTACTGAGAGAAGCTCCTGTCCCTTATGGAAACCGCCCTGCTACCAGGGCCATTCCTCCTGAAATCCCTCTCCTATCAAGATTCACTCCTATCAAGATCCCTCCTGTCCTTTTGAGACCCCACTTTCCCCCTGAGACCCTCTCTCCTATCAAAACCCACCTCTACCAAGATTCTTCCCCTCTTACTGAGACACCCCTCTCCTACTGACCCCTCTTTCAAACTGAGACCCCCCTTTTCCTATCAAGACCCCCCTTTCCTATCAAGAATCCTCCTTTCCTATCAAGACCCCCCTTTCCTATCAAGACCCCCTTTTCCTTTTGAGACTCCACCTTTCCTATCAAGACACCCTTTTCCTATTAAGATCCCCCTTTCCTATCAAGACTCCCCTTTCCTATCAAGACTCCCCTTTCCTATCAAGACCCCCTTTTCCTATCAAAACCCCCTTCTCCTATCAAGATCTCCCTCTCTTTTGGAGATTCCCCCCCTTTCCTAGTGAGACCCCTCCTCTCCCATCGAGCTCCCCACTCTGGGGCTGCATTTGGGAGCCYGGCCCCGCAGGGATGAGCCACGGGGAAGGTGAAGCTGCCACCCCAGCTGTGGCCACGCAGGTTATTTATTTGCTGGTAATTAATG